TTAATCTCGTCTACCATCCCGCACGAATCCAGTACGAACAATCTTGGCGACAGCCCCGACCCCTGGCTCACCCCTTTCGTCCTTAGGCGAGTGGCATGCTCTCCGCTGCTGCTCACTAGGGTGACTACCCTGCCCTGGAGGAAGGATTTAACCAACTGTGTCCATTGAGCGCCAACGCGCGTGTTCACCGCTGCTTCGACATTCTGCCAGCGGCAGTGGTCGAAAGCTCCCGTGACGTCTTCCAATAGCATGCCTGTGAAGCCTTGGCGGCATCGTTTCAGCCCCCCCTCTATCCAGTCCCTCATCGCTTTGATTCCAGTGACTGTCGAACGGCCTGGCACGTATCCGTGCACCCCGTCCGGCACCTCGTGGGTGCGCCAGTGCCACAGGATCACCTTTTCCAGAACCTTGCCCAAGACCCTGAGCAGCGATATTGGACGCCATCTCTTCCACGGGTTCTCTGCTAGGCCATTCCCTTGGTCCACTCCTTTGGAGGGTTTGGGTATCAACACCAGTCTCACAGGTTTGAAGGCTCGGGGAAAGACCCCTAGTTGCACCGATGCCTTCATCACTTCCCAGATTTCTCCGCGAAAGTTGCTGGAGCTCTCCACCGCGTATCGAACATGTTCGTATGCACATTCATCATCTCCCGGAGCCCGCCCTTTTGGCGTGACAGCTAGTAGGCGGCGGAAAGTCTCCATCTCCATCTCGAAGTATGGTCCATGGTTCGCCTCTTCCCTGTGGTGATTCGCAGAGCCTTCCCTTCTGTCTCCATCCCCTGTTGCTGGACCTACGAAGTAGTCCATGGCCTGCTCGGCATCGAACCATTCTTGCAGTGCCCTAGGCTTCGCCCACCTTTTTACCGCTCCCTCATCCATGGCCTCTATGGCCTTCCTAGCTGCATCCCGTTTGCGTTGCTTAATTCCCTTAAGCAGGGCCCTTCTTGCCTCTACTTCAGCCTCTGCCAAGGCTGGCACCTCAGGGTTCTTGCGTGCCTTACCTCTCTTCCTCTGATATGTCCGCCTCAACTTTTCCAGGTCTTCATTCCACCAGTTCTTGGAACCCGGGCGCCCAGCGGTCTGTCTTCGCGTGGATAAGCGCACCGCGTCCTTTAGACGTCTCTCTAGCTGTCCTGCTCTTCTTTCCAACTCCTCCGCGTCCCTTATCTCCGTTCCCAAGTTGCGCTTGTCTATGTGCTCTATGAACTTCTCCCAGTTCGTTCTCTTGGGATTTCGCCTTCCTTTCGCCGTGCGCCCATTCTGCCTGTCTCCCCTTCCGTCCCGCGGTGGTGCGAGACTGAGCCCAAGGGCTTCATGGTCGCTGGGAACGGCGAGGTCCATGACATCCGCCCCTTTTGCGCAGCATTCCGCGAGGCCTTCCCCCAAGAAGATGCCATCTATTGCGGAGCCCCATCTAGTATTGCGGAAGGTGTCGCGTCCCACATTGACGTTCACACATCTCAGGTTCTCCGAGTCAGCCCACCTGTCTATCTCGGCGCCCCTTCTCCAGGACTCTCTGTCGTACTGGTTCTGGTGCTGTCTGCTCGGCGCTCTGGAGCACCAGCTGCCGGATTGAGCATTAAGGTCCCCTCCCACTAGTGACCAGGGCCCGCCTTTCACTCTGCCCAGTACATGTTCGAGTGCCTTGTCCCTTCCCAGGTAAAGGGATGTGAGCTCAATCCATCGTCCCCAACCCGGTGGTCTGACCTCAGCCGTGACGTGGTCCTCCGCTGCTGTGCCCACCTTGTAGGGGACTCCCTGAGCAATCAGTAAAGCCGCCCGCGGCCTTCTGGCGTTGAGGTCTCTCACGATGTCATAGGCCCCGCACCGCACTGGAGTCCCGGCCGGCGGTTCCTGTATAAGCACCGCTAACACGCCGGCTCTCTGAAACTCCTCCACGGCAATTGCCAGGGCTCCTGGCGACCTCATTATGTTTATGCAGCCCACCCTCATCATCGTCCTCGAGAAGCCCTGCTCGCCTGGCCCTTGTGGGCCACCTGCCCGCCCTTGCCCTGAATCAGGCTCGGACATTTATCACTGGTACCCTGCCCGGTTGCTCAAGCTCGTTCGCCGGGACGCCGGCCTCACGAATAGCTCTTCCCGCGTCACATTTCATGTACTCCATAGAGCCATGCCCTTTGCATTTGCAGTGTCCACAGGTCCTCTGCGATGCCGGCAGGTTCCTCAGTGTGCAGTCCCTCTGTTGATGCCCAACCTGACCACACCACGCGCATCTCTCTGGTCTGTCCCCACAGCCTTCGCTTTCCGGGTGCCTGTCAGCACAGACAAAACACACCCTGGTGTAGTAATGGGGTCTAACCCTCACCCTGGTGGCCCCGATGTACAGGGCGTCCTTCCTACCTCCCTTCCCTAAGAACCTATTGGCCACCGCCTCTTCCATTTTGACTATGGCCGTGGCACTGATCGGCTCCCCTTGTGCATCTTTCTTCGTGCATATTTTCACAATTTCCCATGGGACATCCTCTGGAATCCCATTCCTCCTAACGATCTCCCTCCTCAAGCCTTGCTCATTGGCAAGGGCTAGCGGAATGTCCGAGATGGAGAGCTCGCATGACTTTTGGGCCAGCTCCCTTACCGACATCCCTGGTGGTGGGGCCCTAAGAATGTCTTGGAGAGTCTCGCGATCACCTAGCTCGATGGCCAACCCAAAAGAGGTTCTCCACATCCCAAGGATCCTCCATTGTGCTCCCTCCTCCATGAGAGCCGCTTCTTGCATCTTCTTGAGGCAGGTATCATAATCCTCGTTGCTGAGGTTCGGCCATCTTCTCCCCTCTGGCACTCCCTGAAGCCTGCTGGTGAGGGTGGTGACCAGCAGATGTTTAGGCCTGCCCCTCTGAGGAGCGCCTGAGCGCTTCCTCTGTCTGCTCCGGTTGTTTCGACCCACTTGTGTCCACCCAGCATCCTCTCCCTGCGACGCATCGCGATTCACTGCCCTCGACTCAGCCCTCCTCTGACTGGGTTGTCCGGGCGCCCTCCTTTGCGCCTCACCAACGGGAACTGGCCTTCCGTCCCTACCTCCTCGCTGCGGGTTCCCTCTCTGCCGATCCCCCGACGCGGCGCTCGGTGGGTTAGGTCCCATCCCAGCAGTATGCCCTGGTGTTGCCCTCTCCGGCCTATTGCCGGTGCCCCGACGGACAGTGGGTTCCATTCCTTCACTGTTGCTCGTCTGATCGGCATGTCCATGCTCTCCAGCAACACTACCGACCGCGTTCCTCTCTCTCTCCCTCTCCCTCTGCGCTTTGTTCTCCGCAAGCTCTTGCAACAGCTGAATTCTCTGAGCCCGCTCGTTTGCCACCTCCTCGCATTTGAAGGCGTACAGCTGCGCCATGTACAGACCGACGTTCTTAAGGAACGAGGTACTTGTTTTGTAATATCTGCCCTCATACAGCGCGCTTGTGTATATCCCAATTACATTCTTGAAAGCGTCCTCCGCTTCCAGGTCTACAGACCTAAGCTTTTCCTCCAATTCTTCGTGTAGCCCAGAAACCGCATCCTTGCTCTTTTCCTTGCTCTTTTTCTTGTGACGGCCAGCCTCCCTGGAGCCGGAGTCGGGAGGTGCCGCCTCGTCAGGAAGAAGAGTAGGGGACAGCATGGACGACCCAGAGGCAGGAGTGCCCCTGGGGGTGGGGGTTTGATTCCCCCCGGTCATTGTTACAATGGGGAAGCCAACTAACTTGAGTCGACGTAGTAGTGGTTCTGGTTGTGGTCGTCGACGTAGTAGTGGTCTTAGTTGTTGTCGTCGACGTAGTAGTGGTCTTAGTTGTTGTCGTCGACGTAGTAGTGGTCTTAGTTGTAGTCGTAGTCGTCGATGTGGTCGTAGACGTGCTAGTAGTCGTCGACGTAGTAGTGGTTCTGGTTGTGGTCGTCGACGTAGTAGTGGTTCTGGTTGTGGTCGTCGACGTAGTAGTAGTTCTGGTTGTGGTCGTCGACGTAGTAGTGGTCTTAGTTGTAGTCGTCGACGTAGTAGTGGTCTTAGTTGTAGTAGTGGTCGTCGATGTGGTCGTAGACGTGCTAGTAGTCGTCGACGTAGTAGTGGTTCTGGTTGTGGTCGTCGACGTAGTAGTGGTTCTGGTTGTGGTCGTCGACGTAGTAGTGGTCTTAGTTGTAGTAGTAGTCGTCGATGTGGTCGTAGACGTGCTAGTAGTCGTCGACGTAGTAGTGGTTCTGGTTGTGGTCGCCGACGTAGTAGTGGTCTTAGTTGTAGTAGTCGTCGTCGATGTGGTCGTAGACGTGCTAGTCGTCGTCGACGTAGTAGTGGTCTTAGTTGTTGTTGTCTTCGACGTAGTAGTGGTCTTAGTTGTAGTAGTAGTCGTCGATGTGGTCGTAGACGTGCTAGTCGTCGTCGACGTAGTAGTGGTCTTAGTTGTTGTCGTCGACGTAGTAGTGGTCTTCGTTGTAGTAGTAGTCGTCGATGTGGTCGTAGACGTGCTAGTGGTTGTCGACGTAGTAGTGGTTCTGGTTGTGGTCGTCGACGTAGTAGTGGTCTTAGTTGTAGTAGTCGTCGTCGATGTGGTCGTAGACGTACTAGTAGTCGTAGACGTGCTAGTGGTCCTGGTTGTGGTCGTCGACGTAGTAGTGGTTCTGGTTGTGGTCGTCGACGTAGTAGTGGTTCTGGTTGTGGTCGTCGACGTAGTAGTGGTTCTGGTTGTAGTAGTCGTCGTCGATGTGGTCGTAGACGTGCTAGTCGTCGTCGACGTAGTAGCGGTTCTGGTTGTGGTCGTCGACGTAGTAGTGGTTCTGGTTGTGGTCGTCGACGTAGTAGTGGTCTTAGTTGTAGTAGTCGTCGTCGATGTGGTCGTAGACGTCCTAGTAGTCGTCGACGTAGTAGTGGTTCTGGTTGTGGTCGTCGACGTAGTAGTGGTGCTGGTTGTGGTCGTCGACGAAGTAGTGGTCTTAGTTGTAGTAGTCGTCGTCGATGTGGTCGTAGACGTGCTAGTAGTCGTCGACGTAGTAGTGGTTCTGGTTGTAGTAGTCGTCGTCGATGTGGTCGTAGACGTGCTAGTAGTCGTCGACGTAGTAGTGGTTCTGGTTGTAGTAGTCGTCGTCGATGTAGTCGTAGACGTGCTAGTAGTCGTCGACGTAGTAGTGATCTTAGTTGTAGTAGTCGTCGTCGATGTGGTCGTAGACGTGCTAGTAGTCGTCGACGTAGTAGTGGTCTTAGTTGTTGTCGTCGACGTAGTAGTGGTCTTAGTTGTAGTCGTAGTCGTCGATGTGGTCGTAGACGTGCTAGTGGTCTTAGTTGTAGTCGTCGACGTAGTAGTGGTCTTAGTTGTTGTCGTCGACGTAGTAGTGGTCTTAGTTGTAGTCGTCGACGTAGTAGTGGTCTTAGACGTGCTAGTCGTTGTCGACGTAGTAGTGGTTCTGGTTGTGGTCGTCGACGTAGTAGTGGTCTTAGTTATAGTAGTCGTCGTCGATGTGGTCGTAGACGTGCTAGTCGTCGTCGACGTAGTAGTGGTCTTAGTTGTTGTCGTCGACGTAGTAGTGGTCTTAGTTGTAGCAGGCGTCGTCGATGTGGTCGTAGACGTGCTAGTCGTCATCGTCGACGTAGTAGTGGTCTTAGTTGTAGTAGTCGTCGTCGATGTGGTCGTAGACGTGCTAGTCGTCATCGTCGACGTAGTAGTGGTCTTAGTTGTAGTAGTCGTCGTCGATGTGGTCGTAGGCGTGCTAGTCGTAGTCGAAGTCATCGAAGACGTGCTAGG